TGTTCTGCCCTTGGTAGAAAGTGCTGTATTAAAGTTTCCTACTATTATTGTGTAGTTATTTAGTTCTCTTTTCAGTTCAGTTGAGGCATTAGAGTTTTCTGTAAATCTTAGAGATCTCTAAGTCCCTTGCCAGATATGTAATTATTGGCAAGTATGAATTTGTTACTATCATTTTTGTTATGTACTTTTTTATGGTGTTGATTTCTTTGTTCCATATAAATTTCTGTGCTGAGCTCATTTTATTTATGAATTGTGTTATCACTTCCTTTGTTGCAGTTGTTTTAGTATTTGCTAAATATTTGTGCGGGAGCTCTGGTAGCATAGTGGCTAAGACACTTGCCTGCTAACCAGACGGTTGGCGGTTCAAACCCACCAGCCACTCCTCGGAAGGAAGGTTGGGCAATCCTACTTCCGTAGTGATACTGCCTCGGAAACCCAAGGAGGGGTTGCTGTGAGTCGGGGCCGACTCGACGGCACATAACAACAACAACAACAACATGTATGTATGTGTATATGCACATACATGCCTGTGAATTTGTACATTTATGTATACACAAAAATACTTAAGTTTATCACAGCCTACTGGTGTCATCCTTTTACTAATTGAAGTAAAATACAGAATCAAAGTTTTATGCCTCTTATTGTCTACCATTTATAATTATCTTAAATATGTCCTTTATGTGCATTTAGAACAATCCCAGTGTTACAAATTTTGGTTCAACCATCAAACATAACTTAGAAAACTCAAGAGAAGAAGTCTATTTTATTTACCCATAATTTTCCTTACCATGTTCTTTGTACCTTTCTAATGTTCCAAGATTTCTTCTATTAGTGATTCCTTTCTGTTTAGAGAACTTCCTTTAGCCATTCTTCCAGGATAGATCTGCTATCCTAGTTTTACTTCCTGCTTAGTTTTACTTTCTCTAAGTATGTCTTGATTTTTCCTTTCATTCCTGAAGGATATTTTCACTCCATATAAGATTCTAGGTAAACAGTTCTTTCAGTATCCATGGTTCCTGATAAAAATCACTATCATTCTAATTGTATTTACAGTAAGGTGTCATTTTTCTCTGGCTGCTTTCAACATTGCTTTCTTCTTTGTTAGCTGTCAGAAGTTTGAATGTATGGTATATATGTAACCTGGTGTTCTGGTTATGTAGTACCGCTCTGAGAAGAATATACCACAAATGGGATGGCTTGAACAAATAGAAGTTTATTCTCTTATAGTTTGGAGTCTTTAAGTCCAAGTTCAAAGTGCCAGGCTCTAGGGGTTGGGTGAAAGCCCCTCAACCTCGGGGTCCAGCTCTGGCCCAATGGAGCTAGAGGCGTTTCTTCACTCAGCTGCTGGCTGCTGAGGCTGAGAAGCCCCAAGGTTGACAAGTAAAAAGGCACAGTCCCGATGTCACCAAACCACACAGCAGGCCATTAATTTAAGTCCATTGTAAGTCCCAAGGTCAGCAGAGTATGACAGGCCGCTGAACAAAGACATGGCTACATGCAGGGTCCAAGTGTGCCATAAGCTAGAGACCATTCTCAAAGCCGCTGCTTATACATGGGAAGCAGACCACGTACCTAAAATAGCTACTCAGCTGCTTGTGGTAGATCCTACCATGGAGTTGATTGCCAGTCTCATCATGGGGAATAACTCCCATCAGCTGCCCAGACACTCAACCAGGCCCAGCAAAGTTGACACAAAAACATAACCGGCACACCTGGCAATGGAAGGTTTTTTTTTGTTTGTTTGGGGAGTTTCTACCTGTTATTTTCCTCAAATACTTTTCTTGTGCCTCTCCTTCTAGGACCCCAAAGACGTGAGTATTAGATCTTTTGTTACCTTTATATCTTTTATTTCTTTCCTGAGACTTTGTATTTTTTCATTGGTTTCAAGTGTGTTTGTTACTGCTTGTTGAAATATTCTTATGATATTGTTGTTGTTGTTGTTGTTAGGTGCTGATGAGTTGGCTTCAACTCATAACTACCCTGTGTACAACAGAACAAAACACTGCCCTGTCCTGTGCCATTTCCACAAATTGTTGCTGTGCTTAAGCCCATTGTCACAGCCCCTCTGTCAGTCCACCTCATTGAGAGTCTTACTCTTTTTTTGCTGACCCTTTACTTTAGCAAGCATCCTTTTTTTAAAAAAAATTTTATTATGATTTGGGTGAAAGTTTACAGAGCAAATTCATTTTCCATACAACAGTTCATATACATGTTGTCTCATGACATTGCAGTGCAATTTCCCACAACCAAGCATCCTTCTCCAGGCACTGGTCCCTTCCAGCAACATGACCAAAGTATGAGATAGACGAAGTCTGGGCATTCTCTCTTCTAAGGAGCATGCTGGCTATATTTCCTCCAAGACAGATTTATTCATTCTTCTGACAGTCCATGGTACATTCAGTATTCTTCACGAGCGCCATAATTCAAATGCATCAGTTCTTCTGAGGTCTTCCTTATTCATTATCCAGCTTTCACATCCATATGAGGCTGTTGAAAAGATCATTGCTTGGGTATGGTATGGTGAGTCATTTTTCATTTGAAACCTGGACATTTTGGGTATTGCATTATGAGACTCTTGTTCTGGTTACCTAGTGCCACTCTGACAGGAATATACCACAAATGGGTTAGCCTTAATAAACAGGAGTTTATTCTCTTACAGTTCAGGAGGCTAGAAGTCCAAGTTCAAAGTGCCAGGCTCAAGGGGCTGGATGAAAGCCCCTCAGCCTTGGGCTTCAGCTCTGCCTCCTGCTCCCGGCTCATTGGAGTTAGAGGCTTTTCTTCAGACAGCTGCTGGCTGCTGAGACTGCCTAGCCCAAGGTTGATAAGTAAAAAGGCACAGTCCCGATGTTACCAAACCATATGGCAGGCCATTAATTTAAGTCCATTGTAAGTCCTAAGTTTGGCAGAGCATGTCAGACTGCTAAACAATAGCATGGCTATATGCAGGGTCCCCAAGACTTTTTGTTTATGTACAGGAAGCAGACCACATTCCCTAAGGTAGCTACTCAGCTGCTCACAGTAGATTCCACCATGGAATTGATGCCAGTCTCATCATGGAGAATACTACATCCAGCTGCCCGGCCACTCAACCAGGCCCAGCCAAGTTGACACACAAACTGAACTACCACAACTCTGTATCTTACTTAAAACTTTTGTTTTATCTGGTGTTCCCTGACAGCCTTCTTAGCAGGGAGAGGGCATGATGTCACCTCATTATTGCTAGGTGGAAGTGGAAGTCTCTATTTCCTTTTCAGCCTCCATTGATTCCCAAGCAGGGGGATTCTTGTCCCTGCTGAGCAGAGTTGGGAATTCAAGGGATAGTTCAGGCTTCCTCTTACACTACCCTGGCTGGCAAGGGCAGCCTCATTGCTGCTTCCCACGTGTCTTCAACTAACACTGGGTAAATATCCTCATTAATGTTGGGCTGTGGTGAAAGTCCTGGTTCTCCAGCCCTCCTCTGACTCCACCCCTGCAGGGAGGGGAAGGGACACCTTGTTAACCCCATGTGGAGGTGAAAGTCCAGTCTCTCCACGTGGCATCCACTGACACCTCATGGAGGACTCATTATGCCCAGCAGGGATGAAAGTCCAGGCTCCCTGTTCAGCCCACCCTGCAGCCTACCACTGGCAGGGGTGTGGGTGCCTCATTACAGCTGGTGAGGTTGGAAGTCCAGGCTCCCCTTCTTGAGAATGTGGATGGGGGTAGGGTCACAGGTTTTCTGTGGTATTTGGCTGGAATAGAGCAGTTACTGTCTAACAGCTTTTCATCTTCCTGGGCTCCCCCTTTACTGTCCCTTTGGCCAGCATTTGTCAGGCCTTTTTTTCTATGTCTCTTGGTTGCTGGTCTCTTCAGTTCCACATCTGGGATAATGAGGTAAAAAGAACACACAGGAACTCATTTCCATGCTGTTATTGGGTCCTGAAGTCTCTAATCAGTATGCCTTTTTCTTCCGCCTTCCCGAGTCAAGATTTTTATATAGGTCAAGGACTTTGCCTGTACTCAAGGGAAAGAATAAGTTAAAGCATGTTGGTTCCATCTTTGTGGAATTGAAGTCTCTGATTGTTTGTTTCCTGAGTTGTCTTTTTAAAATGAGCTTTCCTAGAAGCTGAGGGTGCCAGCACTGAAGAGGCTACAGGAATCTTGAACAGGATGTGCACCTGTCTCTAGCCCATAGATGCCTCATGCCCCTGACCACACGTGACCTCTAGGATACAGGACATATCCTGTTCTTCCCTGTACCCCAAGAACATACCTCACCCCTCTCTGGTACCCTGGGAACATATTCTGTCTCCCCTCCCTAGTACTGTGGGGATATACCTCACCCTTCACTGATACTCCGAGGACATACCTCACCTTTCCCCAGTACCTCAAGGCTATGTTCCTCCTACTCCATTGGTTGCGCAGTGCCTAAGGCATTTGACCATTAACCAGAAGGTTGGTGGTTCAAACCCATCAGGCACTCTGCCAAAGGAAGACTGGGGAATGTGCTTTAAAGATTTACTGCCTCAGAAACCCAGCAGGGGTTACAATGAGTTGGAATCAACTCAATGGCAGTGGGTTCGGTTTTGGTTTGGTACTCCACTGGCAGTTGCAGTTCAGTGGGCAGGAATGTTGAAGCCTCAGTCTCAGCAAGTGGAGCAGCTTAGTTTTGGGGCTTGGAGAACAGGGCTCGGGGAGGAGTGGACCCCAGCCTCCCTGTGAGGCTCTCCTTCACCAGCCCAGCATGTGGGGCTTCTTGGCATATAAGTGACACCCAGGAGCTCTCTACAGCCACCCTACGAAGAGCATATTTGTGGACATGAAAATTAGCAAAGAGGCTCAGGTAGAGCATGGAGGCAACGCTGATACAGAAAAGGAATGGGATACCAGTGGGGATGCTGGAAGAGCGTGTGTGCCAGCCCCTCAGGGCTGCACTTGCTGCTGTGCTCCTGGTGGCGGGTACTGGCTGGCCTTTATGATCACCTTGAGCCCCACCTCCCACCTACTTTCTCTCTTTGCAGTTCCTCATCTACTTCAAGTACATGCTGATGCTGTCTGTGATCTACTTCTTGGGGGCCCTGCTGGTGGGCCTGCGGCACTACCGCCAGGGCCGCCACCATCCCCTGCCCCTGGCCCAGGAGATGATGAACCCAGCAAAGGAGACGACCACACAGGTGCTGGGTGTACAAGACAAGGGATTTGCCAGCCTTCAGCTCACCACCCTGCCACTGCCACCAGAGGAGAGTGTGTGTGCCCCAGGGCCAGCCACCCATGAGCAGAGCCCCCTGCCCGAGGAGAAGGCCTGAGCCACCTGCTGGACCTATGACACAGAAGGCTGTATGCGAGGACCCCTGACACAGAAGGCAATGTAGGGACCAAGCCAGGCCTTGCCATCTCGGATGAACCATGTACCCAGCTGGCTGCCATCCTGCTGGCTCAGGCATTGTCTAAACCCAGGGTTCAGATTGTGGAGCCATTGGCTAAATGGATTGGCCTTCCCGTAAGACCCTTGGCCTATCTATGACCACAATGGGTAAGCTGCCATGTTAATCAGGGGTGGGCCTCTCTTCCTACCCACCCTCAGTACGCAGCTCTGGCCATGGCATGAAGACTTCTGGGGCCACTCAGGACGTTTGCCCAGCCTTGCTGACCCAGGCTGTTCCTTGTCTGGAGCGAAGGGTCGGGGGAGTGCCAGTGTCCACTGTGGGGCCGCTGGCCTCACCCTATAGTCAAGTCCCATCTGTTTCCAGCGGGAAGGTAAAAGGCCCCACATGCACTTGGCCCAGTGACACTGGCCTCTCACAGGATGTCCTGGGCTACCAGGTCAGGATTGGGAGCTACAGTCAAGGAACTGGGTGTAGGACCCCAGACCCTAGGCCCTGGCTAAGCTATGACATTTCTAGTTGTTGCAGGTGCTTCAAATGATGCTGTTGCTTTTTTTAAAAAAAATTACTGAGATAAAGTGAGTGAAATGTGCTCCATGTGTGTGGTTTTATGCAGGGGTCGGTCACCATTCAGGGGTGGGAGCAGGTACATCCCTGCCTGAGGGAGATGACTCCTCACCCCACCTCAGGGACCCTCAATCTGCCCCTTGCTGAAGTGGGTCCATAGTGATCTCCCTCAAAAAAGATAGAAAAGGGTCTGTCATGTCCACACATGACTCTGCTGGGTGGTATGGGGACAGGCTCACTGACCCACACCCACGTGTGCTCATGCACTCAGAGATGTTCACGTGCATCCACACACACACTTACATGCACATGTACCCCACCTGGTGCATAAGGAGCTTGTCTCTGCATCCGTGGTAGGCAAGCAGGTGCAGTGCTAGCCTTGTTTAGTGCCCAGAGGACCCATGGCCCACTATGTACACAATGCTGTGTTGGCTCCAGGTTGGTGCTGGGGGAGAAAATAGCCAAGCATCTTGCTATCTCTCAAGATGTGACAGTCATATTAAATTGTACACCTGAGTGAGACATGAGGCTCTGGTTCAGGCCTGGACCTCTTGGTGGCTGGGAAAGAGATTAATCAAAAGACCAGGGGTCACTCCACCACCATATGATCTGGGTACCTCCTCACCTACCTTGGGGAAAGACCCCATAAGGCCAGGGGTGTTCTGTACCACCTAACCTTGTCCAACCTGGGGAGAGGAGCTCGCCACCGCCATGGGAGGGTCCGGCCAGGGGTGTACAGCTTGAGCTTGCCAGATTAAAGGCTGACTGGCCAGAGGATGGAGCCAAAGGTCCCCAAGTCTGGCGAGGTGAGTGAGCATCTCAGAGCCCAGGCCAGCTGTACATGGATGGGAGGAAGGTAGCCTGAGTCTTGGTGTAGGTGATGAGGGGGGAGCGCCTCAGAAGAGCCCCATGCCATGGCCCCTCCACCTCCTTTCTCATTCTGGGCCCAAGTTCCCACAGGACACAGATGCATGTGGAGGTGGGACTCAACTGAGGACCTCTCCCTACCCAGACCCAAGGCTGCAGGGCCCTGCCTGGCATTCTCCACCTCAATGCTCCTCCTAGAAGAGCTCTTCCCTGGCAGACCCTAGCCAGGTCTAGTCTCCTGCCACCCATCTGAGTGCCCACCCTGCAGCTCCCATACATACTACCCACGAGGTCAGCGTGCTCCCTCAGGCCCCCAGTTTTGGAGAAACCGCCCTCTTCCATGGTCTGGACTCCCCAGCCAATCCTGGGACAGAGTAACAACTGGGGCTGCAATAAAGCGATACCAGGGGAGCAGGGCCCAATGGGATGGCTGCTGCTGTGCATGAACACTGGATCTGGGGGCCCTGAGCCTGCAGACAACATAAAAAGTGTTGAAGGAGCAGTTGAGCTTCTGGGCTGGCCTGTGCAGGTGCCTGGCTGCCTTGTGACCCATGGAGGAGAGGAAAGTCTTAAGTGCTCATGACGTAGATACTGTGCTCTCATGGCAGGTCTTATTCATGTGACCGCCCTTTCTGTGAAAGCACATAGGTTACAGACTAAATGGCAGTAAAGGGTGGTTTCTTTTTATTTGGTGGCTGAATTTTTTAAGTGCAACTTTTTGTGTGTGATTTGGGTGAAAATTTACAGAGCAAATTCACTTTCCATACAGCAGTTCACATACACTTTGTCTCATGACATTGACTACAATTTACTACAATGCAAAATCTCCCCTCCCACTTCCTCCCGATGGTTACCTCTTCCCTGTGTCCCTCCATGCACTCCTGCCCCCTGAGCTGTCTCCCTGTGCATAACAGCCCTTCTTTCTCCCATGATTGTTCTCTCCAAGGAGTGTATCTACTTCAGGTAAGTGTTCAACTCATATGCCTATCTTTTGTTTGGCTGGAAGCCACAGGTGTGGGTTCAATTCCAGACCTGAAGGGCAGCTAGGGGCCATAGTCTCAGTGGTTCCACCAGGCTCTATTGGACCAGCAAACCTGGTCCCCTCCTTTTTTTTTTCTCCAAATGTTTTGAGTTTTGTTCCACATTGTTCTTCTTCTCTATCCAGGAACTCCTACATAGATCTCCCTCCAAGTGGTTGACAGTGATAGCCGGGCACCATCTAGTTCTGGTCTCATAGTCATATAGGCTGCAGATCAGATGGTGTACCAGTCACTAGGACTAATTGTTTCCATGAATTTCTGGTTTTCTTCATTCTTTGCTCTGGACGAGAGACCCATTGTTGCATCTAGATGGCTGCTTGCAAGCTTTTAAGATCCCAGTCGCTACTCGCCATACTAGGAGGTGGAACAGTGTTTTGTGTAGTATGTTGTGCCAGTTGAGCTTGATGGTCCCCTGTGACTATGGTCCCGAGCCCACAGGTTCAACTACTCAGTCCCTCTGGGTAGCTGGCTGTGACCAAGAAGTGACTACAACTTTGCCCCTTGTCAGGTCTACTATATACCTGGGGATTCAGATCACACAAATAAACTTGTAGGACCACTGTCTGCCAACTTTGTACATGGTCTTGGGTATACTCCCCACTTCACAGACAGACATAGGTACTAGTTCAGCCTGTCCACCCATCTATCCACCTGTATACCCATGTTTGCCTTCACTAACAATACAGTACTGTATGTGCAAAAGGGTTCATCTTTGTTGTCTGTACCTCCCATGTACCTCTCTATGTCTTTCTCTTCCTCAGTGCCACCATGTTGATCACTCACATTTGGTACGTTGTTGGTGGCTGATTTTAAATGCATCACATTGCATCCAGCCTACAAGTTCTGGTGGCTGAGTCTGGTCAGTCACAAAGCAGACCTCAAGTGTAAGCCCAGAGAACAGCAGGTAGTGTTACAGCATGGCAATCATGAAGGGTTAGCCTCACTCCTGGCTCTACCCTGGCTAGTGGACTCTGGCTCTCCCTCTCCACACCCATGAAGGCTGCCTCAGACCCCCTTACCTACCCACATACATCCCAGGGTGTCCAATAGGAGGGCAGCCTGGTTATGCACGGGTGTCAGTGGACAGCTGCAGAGCAGTCTGGGTGCACTGGTCCCTCCCCCTCTCTCTGGCCCTGTAGCCATCTCTGCCTGTGCCTGCTGTGGTTTTCTAAGCCCCTCAGTTCTGGAAAGGTAAACCCTGGGACCTTATTTATTGCCTTGACTCAGCATGAGGCATCCCTGGTGTGGGGCCAGGGCTATGGTCTGAGTGTGACCCTGCCTGGGTCCCAAGACCTGCTGAACTGGGCCTGGAGTCATCCTTGGGAATCCACCTTGGAGAAAGGAGCACAGGGTGCTCCTCTGGGTGGAGTTGGGCCTGGGGGTGATGCCGAGCTCTGATTCTTGAAGCTCCTGTGGTACTTGCCCTCTCTGTCTGGGTATGACCTTGGTTACTGAGAGCCAGCTGAGGGAAAGGTCTGGGATAGGCCCTGAGGCAGGGCTGGCTCCAGGAGCAACCACAGGCTGCAAGTCTAGGGTGGATGGGGGTGGCTGGAGGCCAGCAGGGGCTTTAGAGCCCTGGGTGGGCAGTAGACAGAGCTTAGGAACCAGTCCTGGCCAGAAGGTTTGCTGTAGGAAGTGGGAGAGGCCAAGGAAAGGAGTTTGCCTTGGTACCAGGGATGCCACCTGCCCTTGTTACTGACCAACTGAGAGAGGGCAGCCCTTTCCCTACAAGTAGCAGAGTCCTTGGCAGGTGAGGAGGGGTGAAGAAAGGGGTGGCCCAGCACCTTACCAGAGTCTGCAAACAGGACGGAACTTTGAAACCAAGAGAGATGCAAGCAGGACATTGAGTTGGTGCCTGCTGGATGACTGAGGGCCTTCCTGGCACCAGAGCCTGGAGGCGCCCACAGTCTATAGTGGACAGTGAGTCCCAGAGCCAGCCTCTTGCCCACACTAGGCTGTGTTCCAGCCCTAGGTCTTACTGGGGCCTGGCAGGCTCCACAGGGCCAAGGATGACACCACAAAGCCCTGGCACTCCTGGAAGACAAGGCCACAGCCAGCTGGGGCTTTCATGTGGAAGAAAGAGTCTCAACACTGGGTTTTGTTTTAAACTTTTTAAAAAATACACTCTTTGGCTCTTTATTTCTTGAGGGGTTACATGAAGACATGAACTATAAAGAAAAGTGGACCTGCCAGGCCCCACGTAGATGCTGGCTGATCTTGCCCTGGACGCCCTGCCTGCAATGGAGGCTCTCCTTGGCTGCCTCTTCAGCCACCTGTCCATCTACCCATCTGTGCAGCAGAGGCCCTGCTAGGAGGAGGCAGTCATGAAGCTGTTCTCAATGCAGAGGACGATGAAGGCGTTGCGGCAGCTCATGGCCTTCTGCCCCAGCAGCCTGCCTGCCAGCAGCGAGGAGGCCTGGCCTGTGGCTGCCGGGTCCTCTGTCCGCCATGTCTCACAGTAGCTCTCGGTCAGCCGGCGCCCACTGGGGTCTGAGCCATGCCACACGCTCTTCTGGGGCCTACAAGATGTATTGCTGTCAGCACATGCACACCCCAGGCTGTGCCCAGGGCAGAGACCAGGCAGGACAGACTGGTAGCTGGACTGGGAGTGAGGGAGCCAGGAGCTCTGGGAGCAGTAGGCATGGCTTCTTTGACTAGCCAGCTACCCTGTTCTACCAGAAGAGGCTTCACACCTGACTGCTCTCCTATGGTGATGGGGCTCAACCCAGGCAAGGCCAGGTGACATTGGGTGCTGGTCCTTCCCAGGGCAGGGGTGAAGGCATTGAGCACACTGGCTTGCCACCTCTTTGGTCCAGACAAATGTCACTGCATGTGGTTCAGGTCTTGGCCTGCCCTGGGGACCGGCCCACAGCCATGTCTGTGCCTCCCATATCAGGACCAAGGGGATGGACCTTAGCAGGTGCTTCCCAAGGAGACTAGTGAGTGCAGACCCTCTGAGCCTGATTCCCAGAGACATCCTTTACAGAGCATCAGTGTTAGGGGAACAGATACACACATGCCTTGGCAGGATGTTTGGTAAAACAGGGCCTGACCTGGGAACCCCATTTCAAGGGGTTTACTCCACAAACTATCATTGAGTGTGCAAAGATGCACATCTGAGGATGTTCACCACATTGTTGATTATGAGCAGCCCCAGGAGGTCACAGTAACAGTAAAGTCAGAACGGGAGAGAAGCTTGCTTTGTGTCAGCAGGAAAAGCAGGTTAGATAGAGGTGTTTCATTTTTCTTTTTCTTAAAAATGGTAGCAATGATTAGTTCTTGATGCTCTCCTACATTTATAACGTTTCAGACAGCGAGCATGTATCACATGTAAGATCAGACCAAAGAATTCAGGTGAACACGTTCAAAGTTGGGGTGACCAGGAACATCTCACTAGGCTCCTTGCTTTAGGGTTTTCTAAAGAATAAAGGGAAGTGGAACCTCTCACCCCCACCCTGAGCTGCCCTACAGCCAAACTACCCAGCCATGCCACAGTCAGGGGACCTACCAGGCAGAGTGCCTCAGGACGTCCCTGCCATCAAAAGAGAAGATACGGGCCCCGGGCCTCAGCTGGCCCTCAGAGCCTGAGAACAAGGCCTCCCAGCTGGGGAATAACACCTCGTCCTGTGAAGTAAAAAGGGGGAGGGTATAGTTGGTTTCTGGTCACATCCTGCCCAAGGAACAGAGTTGCTGGGCAAGGCCCCATCTCACCAGGGCAGATGCACTAGTCAGAGCAGAGGGACTGTTTCCTTGAATGCAGTCCTACCTGAGGTGTGGACAGGGTCTATAACCTTCTGCTTCCCAGGCACTGGGCAGCCCATGGCTAGTAGGACACTGGCCCCATCCCCACCTTGGAGCAGGGTTCTAAGGAACCCCAGCACTCCTGGAACACTGGGAAGCCACAACAGTCCAGGGTCATGAGCAGCCCAGAGTTGGAGTAAGCCATGGAACAAAGCCATGTGAGGGGTCCATGCAGACTCAGCTCTGAAACTCCTAACCCCAGGCTGAAGGGAGAGTGCTGGGTGAGGAACTGGGCTGGGGGAGGGCTGGTGGTTGATTAATACCTTGGAAAGGCATTTCCTTCCCCCCTGGTTGTCCTCAGGGGTGACCATAAGTATGAGCAACTCAGTCCTGGCTCACATGGCTAGGAGCACAGCACAAGAAATACAACTAAGAAATACCACATGTGACAGGCACCAGGGCTCCCGTGTTCCTGCAGGTGTCACCCTGCATGCAGGGCTGTTGGCCATGTTTGGGGCATTCTGGAATTTGCTGGAGGAAATGGTAGCCCATTGGGATACAGAGGCCCTGGTGGGTGCCTGCAACTAGATCCACCCACAAGCCAGCTGGAGCCAGGCCACAGAAGCCCACCCAAGAGCCATCGGTGGGAAGGCCCCTTGCCCACCCTCTCAAGGGATGCCATTCCGTTGTATTCCCATGCCTGTAGTCCTGCTTCTGCCCAGGTCCCTCCTCTCAGCCATGCCCCCACAGGGCAGTGGGGCCCACCTTGAGGTTGACAATGGGCACATCTCCACGGTCCGAACGACGCACAATGCTGTGCAGGTCCTGTAGCCGAGAGGACAGGAAGGCGCGGAAGGTGCCGGCAAGCCCCACAGCCCGCGCCTGCTGGAAACACTGGAAGTCGGCTCCTCGGATGCCGCGTAGGCCACCCGTGAGTGGTCCATTGAGGGCCACCAGGTGGAGCTGAGACAAGGAGAAGGCATCACAGGTGGGACATCAGTGGCAATGGGGTGGTTTCCCAGGCTGGGCCCCCCCCAATGCACTTTCCCTGCTCCCATCCTCCTCAAGGGGATGAGAAGGCCTGAGATCTCAGGAGTGGCACCCAGGAGCAGGTCACGGGAGCTGCAGCCTGCTGAGGCTGACTCTAGGGCACTCTTGCAGCAGGTCAGCTCAGGGGAACAGGAATTTGAGTGGTGTGGACCTGGGTAACAATCTCCCCATCTCAGCCAGGACACCTCACCCCTACCTGCTTCCTACTCACTCTTACCTGTCCTCTCCTAGAGGTCCAGTGCTACCCATAGGGTCCAGAGCAGCCCCAGGTGTCAGCCCCCAACCCCATCTGTTTCCCAGGCTCCTTCTGTCCCCATTATCACTTGTCACTGCCTCATGTCTCCAGGTCTTGAGTGGACCTGACTTTGGAGGCATTTAACTGTAGCAGAGGGTGGCTCCTGGTACTGTGGGTAGCAGCCAGCACATGTGGCCTCGATTGGTAAGAGTGGACACTGGGCAGAAGCTACACACCCACTCCCACTCTGGGACCTCCCCAGGGTCTGGGTCCCTCCCCTAGCATCCTGAGGTCCAGTACCTGGGCTACTGATGCCCCTGAGCACTCACCACTGGTTGAAAGTCCTGGTGGGCATGGGCAGGCATGACAGTGGGGCGAGGTGGCTGGTGGTGCACATAGGAGCCATGGTGTGGGGCCCCGGGGTAGGGCTGGGGGTCTGGCAGGCGTGGGGGGTTGGCTAGAATGCCATCTGACCGCCAGGGCCGTGCTGTCGAGTGGGAAAGCTCTTGCCAGTATGGGTTGCCTTCGTGCACCATGGGGGGCTGCAGGGCAGCCACTTCATTGTCCTGCAGAGGAGAGGGTGGTGGATCTGGGGCAGAGGCTGCAGTACCCTCAGGCCTTGTTCACATGCCTAACACTTCTCCTGAAGCCCCACCCACACCCCTGCTGCCCCTTCAGAGGCCCCACCCTTATCTGACTCCAGTGTGCATTCTTATGGGGCAGGAGGCTCCGGCCTAGGTGAGCATAACTGCCCCCAGGCCATGGGCAGGTGGCAGCTCCTGGTGAATGTGTGGAAAGGAGCAAGTGTGGAGAACCCTGTCATCCTTCAGGCATGACCCCAGTGAGCCATGAACATTCAAACCAGTCAATTGCCCTCTGCCTACCCCAGCACAAGTCTTCTCCATGGCATACTGAGTGGCCTTCAATTCATTCCTCTGCCATCCACCTATCTACCCATTTGCTTATCCATCCATCCATTTACCCATCCATCCACTCACTCACCCACCCACCCACCCACCCATCCTAGAGGTATCTATGCCCATGCCTGACATTCTAGATGAGAGAAAATAGACAAAGACAATGAAATGTGGATTTTAGCTCCCTGGAGCTTCTCGTCTAGGAGGAGCAATGAGCCACAGATACAAATGGTTATGTCATTCACATGTTGTCCTGACTGAGACACTCAACCTGACAAAAGGGTTATCATGTGTTTATGCCCGGCCTCCAACAGGGGCTGACTGTGAGATGCACACACTCCAGGACTCTACAGCATCAACTATTGTTTCAGTATCATGGGACCCCTATCATATGCCCCTGTCCCATCTATGCACCAGGTCCTAGACACAGATCTCTAGCCTAACAGTCATGGGAAGGAAGAAATGCTCCTTACTGTTCCACGTGGCAGTGGTGTCCGGGCCTCCAGCTAGAAGAGAACACCAGGATTACTTCAGGACCTTGTGACCAGCTCCCAGCCACTCCCTGTCCCATGATGCCTGCCTGTCTTACCCTGCATATCCCTTTCCAATCATTCATTTACTCTAAACTCCACAGCAAACTCACTGCCATTGAGTTGATTCTGACTCATAGTGACCCCCATTGAGTTTCTAAGGCTGTAAATCTTTACTGAAGCAGACTGCCTCATCTTTCTTCCACAGAATGGCTGGTGGGTTCAAACCACCAATCTTTTGGTTATCAGCCAAATGCCTTAACCACTATACCACCAGAGAGCTTCAAGCATTGTTTATCACTTGCCTCATCCTGCTAGAATGTGAGCCCCTCAGAATCACAAATGGTGCTGAATTGCCAGTGCCCACCCCAGTACAAAGTGGGTGCCTGGTCATTGCCTGCTGTTAAGAACATGTGGAGGGACCTGCAGCTTCCATGGCCAGATGAAGACATTGGAGCAGGACATGGAAGAGTCCAAAGAGACAGAGGAGGGCCTAGGCAGGATAAAGGGGACTGTGGTAGAAGGGATGGAGGGAGCCCCTAAAAGTTCGAGGACGCTATCAATGCAAAACATCAGCTTAAATTCTTAAGCCTTTGACAAAGGAGGCTTCAGGGATGTGGCGGGTTGTTTCAGGGACAGTGGGCTGACCTCTGTCCAACCTCACAAGTGACATGTAAAAGAGAAATGTTTACCAAAGGGGCTCCATGTCTGTTGTCCTTTTTCTGGAACAGAAAAGAGGGGTGGCCTTGTCCTCTCAAAAGGTGACCTCTCTGGTGGTGCAGTGGTTAAACATTTGGCTGCTAACCAAAAGATCTGTGGTTCAAACCCACCAGCCACTCAGTGGGAGAAAGATGTGGCAATCTGCTTCCATAAAGATTTACAGCCTCAGAAACCCTATGGGGCAGTTCTACTCTGTCCTATAAGGTTGCTATGAGTCAGAATTGACTCCATGACAGTGAGTTTTAGACTAATTAGATGCTGGCCTGGTGTGTTGGAGGAGACTTAGTGTAAAGAACCTGAGGCCCTATGACAGGCAGCCATGGACAAGGCACAAGCCATCCAAAAGTGCTGAGGATGTGATGCCCTTCACAGTATTGTTTATAATACACTGTATGGGAACAGGGCATGCCCTTCATCCCAGGCACAAGGTGGTCATACTGTGGAATGTTCCTCAAATGACGATGAGATGAACATCAACACCAAGTCACACGTCAGGAGGTGAAAAGACCTAAGAGCCTCCTCCTGTTTTCACTTGTGTGCAAAGACATATAGAGAGGCATATATAGTCAATTCTTGTCATTTGCGGTACTTGTGTTCTATAAAGTCTTCCCTAACATTGAATTAATGGATACCAAACCAGCCTTGTTCAACTGTACCTAGAAACATGAACGTTGGGTGACAACGTTTTCACCATTCTTTGTGTGTCTGTCTGTAAATGAGTGCAAAATCACCAGTGAGTATTGACTTTGGGGTTACAAATGATTTTTTTTGCAAATTCACAAATATAAAATCTGCAAATAATGAGGAGAAACTATGTGTGTGTGTGTGTGTATAAAACCAAACCCACCATCGAGTCAATTATGACTCATAGTGACCCCCCATTGGGTTTCCAAGGCTGTAAATCTTTATAGAAGCAGATTGCCTCATCTTTCCTCCTCAGAGCAACTAGTAGG